TCCCTGCACACCTGGGATTCTGGGCCCAGTCCCTTCCCTCCCCCCACCATACCCTTTAGAAGCCCAAGGGGAGAGTTCTGGGAGGGGGTAGCCCCAGTTTGCACATGGGCAAACTAAGACTTGGAAACCTGGAGTACCAAGGTCACAAGACAAGCAGGATCAGGTAGGGACTTGGCCCCCATCTGTCTGACTCAGCTCCCTACTCTTCCTCCCACTGTGCCCATCTCAGACCACTGCAGCAAACACAGCCCCTGCCAGAAAGGAGGGACCTGTGTGAACACACTGACCGGCCCACACTGTATCTGTCCAGAACACCTCACTGGCAGGCACTGCCAGAGAGGTAAGGAGATGCTAAGGGTTAGGAGAAGGGACGCTGGGGCCAGGGGCCAGCCTGGATCTGTGGAAGAGGTCCCTAGATCCCCAGAGACTTGGCACGGTCCAGGGCTCTTCTGAGACCACTGACCATCTTTGTCCCCAGAAAAGTGTTTTGAGCCTCAGCTTCTCCAGTTCTACGATGAGAACCAGATATGGTTTAGAGCGGAGCCAGCTGGCGTGGCCAAATGCCAGTGCAAGGGTCCTGATGCCCACTGCAAGCAGCTGGCCAGCCGGGGTGAGCGCGTCGGCTGGGAACCGGCCAGGGAGGAGGGCTGAAGGTCAGGGGGAGAGGCTGGGGGGAGGCCAGGTAGTGCGTGGGTGGAAGGGGAGCTCCCGCGGAGTCTTTAGGCTCCGCGTGCTCGTTTCCCCAGCCTGCCGCACCAACCCGTGCCTCAACCGGGGCCGCTGCCTCGAGGCAGAGGGCCTCCGCCTGTGCCAGTGCCCCGCGGGCTACACCGGGCCCTTCTGCGACGTGGGTGAGTGAGGGTCCCAGGGGAAGCAGAGGGCCAGCCCCCACGTGGGAAGGGCTTGCAGAGATGGGGGAAGCGGCGTGCCGAGCGGCCGGGGAGCCCTCCGCTGGCTGCCGGGAGCCCCCTCTCTCCCTAGACACCGAGGCGAGCTGCCATGATGGCCGCGGGCTCAGCTACCGTGGCATGGCCCGGACCACACTCTCGGGTGCGCCGTGTCAGCCGTGGGCCTCCGAGACCACCTACCGGAGCGTGACTGCGGAGCAAGCGCTGAAGTGGGGACTGGGCGGCCACGCCTTCTGCCGGTGCGCTGGGCGGGGCGGGCCGGGCATACCCTCCGCCCGGCCGCCCTCTGGGGCTCCCGGCGCTCTAACAGCGCCCCCTCCTGTGGTTACAGGAACCCGGACAATGACACCCGCCCATGGTGCTTCGTGTTGAGTGGCGACCGGTTGAGCTGGGAGTATTGCGACCTGGCACGGTGCCAGCCCCCAGTCCAGGCGGCGCCTTCGATCCGGGTTTCCCCGGGGCGTCAGGACCTGTCCTTGCCCCCGCAACCCCTGCCCTTGTCCCCGCAACCGCCGTTGCAGACGCCTCAGCCCACGACCCAGACCCAGCCTCAGTCCCAGACCCCAGGTCGTTAGGAAGGGGCGGGAAGTCAGAGCAGAGAGGGCGCGGGGCGAGCTAGATTGCAGCCACCCGGCGGCGGGTTTCCCTGTCCTCAGCTTAGGCTCCTCCTACAGCCTTGCTCCCGAAGCCGGAGCAGCAGAGCCCCCTGTCCAGGACCCGCCTGCTCGGCTGCGGACAGAGGCTCCGGAAGCGGCTGTCCTCGGTGAGCCGCGTCGTTGGTGGACTGGTGGCGTTGCCCGGGGCGCACCCTTACATCGTCGCGCTGTACTGGGGCCACAGTTTCTGCGCCGGCAGCCTCATCGCCCCCTGCTGGGTGCTGACCGCGGCCCACTGCCTGCAGGACCGGCGAGTACCCGCCCGCCCAGCGCCCTTCCCGGGACCCCAGCTGCCCTACCCTCCGAGCTCAGCTTCCAAGCCACACCCGAGCTCGTGCCTCACCTCCCCCCACCTCTCCCTTGCTCCCCGGGGGGCAGGAGGACTCCCCCAGACGCTGGCGGCGGGCACCGAGCGCGCTGCCTCCTCCGCACCCCGCCCGCAGCCCGGCGGCCGAGGAGCTGACGGTGGTACTCGGCCAGGAACGCCACAACCAGAGCTGTGAGCAGTGCCAGACGCTGTCCGTGCGCTCCTACCGCCTGCACGAGGCCTTCTCGCCCGTCAGCTACCAGCACGACCTGGGTGCGTGGGGGCGCCCCCGCGGGGAAGGGGAGACGGGGTGGGAAGGGCTCGGGGCCCCAGCGTCCCTGCCTCACGCTCCTCTCTGCCGGGTTAGCTCTGCTACGCCTGCAGGAGAGCGCGGACGGCAGCTGCGCGCTCCTGTCGGAGTACGTTCAGCCGGTGTGCTTGCCCAGCGGCGCCGTCCCAGAGGCCGAACTCGAGGCAGCGCTCTGCCAGGTGGCCGGCTGGGGCCACCAGTTCGAGGGTAGGCACAACAGCTTGGGGCCAGGGGAGACCTTTAGCTACTGGGGTAGGCCACAGAAGCCCTCGACTTTGGTATCCTCCGGGGTGCCTACAGGAGAGGTGGCACGGACACGATGTGTTATGAGAACATGCAGGGCCCTTGTCTCGGCAGTCTGCTCTTCCCAAGGCCTGGGTTTCACTGTTGGGTCCCCAAGTCTCTGGGGGTGCAGGGAGAAACGCAGTTTCCCTTGGCTCCCTCTGGGTGCTGGGCTGCAAGGGCTGCCTAGGATACCGACCCGGCGCTCGAGCAGCCCGCGGGCTCTTTGGGAGCCAGGTTCTGAGACACCGGCCGGGAGGTGGGAGTGGGGTTCCCGGTTCCACTCCGCCCGTTCGAACCCGGCAACTCCCTCTCTCTTGGGCTTGCTGCGGGAGAGCAAGGACATGCATCGGTCTAGAAGCTCCTGGCACAGCCTCGTCTGTCCATTGTCCGGGCGGCGAGCGTCGTCGTTGCCGGGAGGGTTGTGAGGAAGGTGCTCCGGGTTCGGGTTCGCAGGCGCGGAGGAATATTCCAGCTTCCTGCAGGAGGCGCAGGTGCCCTTCATTTCCCTGGAGCGCTGCTCCGACCCGGACGTGCACGGAGCCGCCATCCTCCCCGGCATGCTGTGCGCCGGCTTCCTCGAGGGCGGCACCGACGCGTGCCAGGTGAGGCCTCAGCTCGGGTTGGCGTCCTCCCCCAAGCTTGTCAGGCACAGACCCCAGGCTGAGGACAAGGAGCTGCGTGTTTCCCACCCAGGGTGACTCGGGAGGCCCGCTGGTGTGTGAGGAGGAGGCCGCCGAGCAGCGGCTCACCCTGCGAGGCATCGTCAGCTGGGGCTCGGGCTGTGGTGACCGAAACAAGCCAGGCGTCTACACCGACGTGGCAAACTACCTGGCTTGGATCGAGGAGCACACCACTTCCTGATTGTCCAGGGACTCGTCTTTTCCCCCCTGAGTAATTCCAGAATGGGACAGTGACCAGGGTGATCATGGACGGCAAAGATTGTGTCCCATTCCGCCCCCCACCCCACCCCCGACGCCACCAGCCTGGCACCAGGCACTGCCCAGGAACTCAATAAAGCGCTTTGATAATACTGAGAGGCTGCCTGCTGCCCTCTAGCCTGGGCAACAAAGTGAGACCCTGTCTCAAAAAACAAACTAAAAATGCTGAGAGAGCTCTTCATGCGTCCTATTGGGAAATGCCAAGACAGAAGCTGGTACAACAGCTGAGAACAGCTGTTCTCAGCTCTCAGAGAACAAGATCTATGCACTCGGCCAGGCGCGGTGGCTCACACCTGTAATCCCAGCTCTCTGGGAGGCCGAGGCGGGCAGATTGTTTGAGCTCAGGAGTTTGAAACCAGCCTGAGCAAGAGGAAGACCCCGTCTCTACTAAAATTAGAAAGAAATTAATTGGACAAGTAAAAACATATAGAAAAAATTAGCCGGGCATGGTGGCGCATGCCTGTAGTCCCAGCTACTCGGGAGGCTGAGGCAGGAGGATCGCTTGAGCCCAGGAGTTTGAGGTTGCTGTGAGCTAGGATGACGCCACGGCACTCTAGCCCGGGCAACACAGTGAGACTCTGTCTCAAAAAAAAAAAAAAGATCTATGCACTCAACATGCAAGATACAGATTCCTGTCCAGCTAACGTTTACGGAGGCTCACTGTGTAAACAAGCACTGTGTAAGGTGACTCCGCATATTATTTTTCGTAAGAAACTCACATGTAAGTTTACAGAGCAACAGTTCTCTCTTGACTACCCCTTGGGATCATCTGGAGAGCTTTTTGAGCCCATCTATGCCCAAGATCCACCACAGGCCAATTAAATCAGTTATCTCTAGGGATGGGGCATGGGTAGTGGTATGTTTTTAAAACTCCCCAGATAATTCCATGTTCAGCCAAAGTTGAGAACCATAGTTAGAAACGCTTAACATGAAACAGTGGTATGGACCCTGAAGGCTGGTGACTTGGAACACCCTAATCCCCATCCCAAAAGGCATTAGGCCAGTGGGTCTCAAAGTCCCAGGGAGCTTGCTAGACATACAAATTCTTGGGCTACATCTCATACTACTAAAGCAGCAAGTCTAGCAGCAATCTGTTTCACAGCCCAGATTTCAGTGGGTTCTAATGCGCTCTAACTTTGGAGAACCACAGTCTGGGGTTTGAACGGTTCCCTTGCAGGTGGAGAGGTCCAGCTGTCCAGACATGGCATCTTTTGGTTCTTAACCCATCTTTTTAATGGTCCATTTAAGTTGCTTTTCTTTTCTTCCTTTTTTATTTTTTGAGACAGAGGCTCACTCTGTTGTCCTGAGTAGAGTGTCATGGTGTCAGCCTAGCTCACAGCAACCTCCAACTCCTAGGCTCAAGCGATCCTCCTGCCTCAGCCTCCGGAGTAGCTGGGACTACAGGCGTGTGCCACCATGCCCAGCTAATTTTTTTCTTATTTTAGTTGTCCCGCTAATTTCTTTCTATTTTTAGTAGAGACCGGGTCTCGCTCTTGCTGAAGCTGGACTCCTGAGCTCAAGCGATGCTCCCGCCTGGGCCTCCCAGCGTGCGAGGATTACAGGCGTGAGCCACCGCGCCCAGCCTTAAGTTGGTTTCCGAGGATCATTTCGAATCGTACGCGATTCTCTCCTATGGGCTAACTTTAGAACTTCTCCAGGCATAAACTGCGAACGCCCGCACGTTCCCCAGTTTACGCAGCTCTCTGTGTCGTCGCGTGTCACGTCGCAGCTCCGCCCTCGCACACGTCGTAGCGCGGCAGGCACTGCCAGCGCGGGACTGTGGGACACCCCTTCACAGCGCCAGGCCGAGGGGCGCACCCTGAGCGGAATGGGCGACTGGAAAGGCTACATTAGCGCGGTGCTGCGGGATCAGCGAATCGACGACGTGGCCATTGTGGGCCACGCGGACAATCGCTGCGTGTGGGCCTCGCGGCCCGGGGGCCTGCTGGCGGCCATCTCGCCGCAGGAGGTGGGCGTGCTCACGGGGCCCGACAGGCGCACCTTCCTGCAGGCGGGCCTGAGCCTGGCGGGCCGCCGCTGCTGCGTCATCCGAGACTACCTGCTGGCCGACGGCGACGGTGTGCTAGACGCGCGCACGAAGGGGCTGGACGGGCGCGCGGTCTGCGTGGGCCTCTCGCCGCGCGCGCTCCTCGTGCTCATGGGCCGCCGCGGCGTGCACGGCGGCATCCTCAACAAGACGGTTCACGAGCTGATCCGCGGGCTGCGCACGCAGGGCGCCTAGCGGCGCAGCAGGACGGCGGAGGTGGCGGGAATAAACTGTGACTTGGACGTGGCTGGCTCATCCGCCGGTTTCGCGTGGGCAGTTGTAAATAAGGAAACCGGTTTATGGGAAGGTCTTTGCAGAAGGGTTACATGGTGGGGTGGGATTATGAGGACAGAGGCTGCGCAGACTCCTGTGGCCTACACCCAGCCCTGCTGTCCACAGACGCCTGGCATAGGCCTCTGGCGGGCTTGCTGCTGCTTGGCGCCTTCCCAGGCTCCTAGGGACTCTGCAGCCGAGGGAGAGCCCAAGGGTGGGGCCTGCTCAAACTCCCTCAGGCCTTAGCATCCTTTCTCACGGAAATTACACGTTTGGGCAGGACAAACAGTAAAGAGAGCCCCCTCCCTATCTTGCCAACGCCTCCCCATCCTGCCAGCCCCTCTCCAGACGCACACCAGCCAGGGCCTGTGGGGCCAGGGAGTCAGGCTGGAGTCCGGTGTATTCCTTACCCCTCTCCACTCGGCGGGGGAGGCACTAGCAAGGGGTGTGAGTGGGTGACAGGATGGGGCTGGTAGCTTGGAGAATAGCTCTGGGGCTCCCAGGCCCCTGCAACTCCCCAGACATACCTCAAAGGAGGGCCCACTGAGAGGGCAGGTGTCCAAGATGGTCACAGCCGGGTCTGGGGCCCCACTGCCTGCCTTTGCCTTCCTGCCTCCTTGGGGCCCAAAGGTCCCAGAGGACCCCCTAGACTGGAGGGTGGAACTTTGGCATCCCTACGCTTGACCCTCACTCTGCAGGCCTCAGCTCCAGGTTGCCCAATGAGGAGGCATTGAAAAGCTTGGGTGGGCTTCAGTGAGTCCTGGCTTACTGCCAAAGATAGAGGGCAAACATGGGAGGGAGGGTGTTTTGTCTGTGCCCCCTATGTCGTGGGGCCCAGGGCACGGCCTCTCTTGCTCACCTCCAACCTCCCTGTCCCCGCCCCCAGTGACCCTAACAAACCCCACCCGTCACTCATCCCAGATCCCTGATTTTATCCCAGCAAGGGGGAGTGAGTGTGTGGCTGAGGTGGGTGACGGCAGAGGGAGACCAAAGGAGGCCCAGCCTGGTGGGGGTTGGGGTGGCAGTGCAGAGAGTCCTCCTCAGTAGGGGCGGCCACTTGCCTAGGAAGGGCTTCCGGGGAGTTTGAATTGTGGCTGGGCTCACTAAGGCAGGGCCAGGTAGACTTTTGGGGTGAGGTTGCAGGGCTGGCTTCTCCAGAGTGTGTCTGGCCAGCAGGGGCTGCTGCTGCAGCAGGTCTTTGAGGGGCGGCGGTGCTGCTGACCCCCAAGCCTTGCTCTTGCCTTTCCCCATAGATGGAGAGCAAAAAGACTTCCAAATACATGAGGAGAGTTTAATTCCTTTTTTTCCCCATCAGGCAGTATTGGAAAGGGGCCGTTGTGGTGGTGCTGAAGGCCTGGGTGACAGTGAGGAGGTGTCGTGGAGAAAGGAAGGTGGCAGGGAGGGTGACTCAGGCACCTATGTCTGTGCACAAGCACACAGCTGCACAGCCACACACTCAGACCCACCCCTACTCCTGCCCATCGTAGTCGTGTGTACACAAGGACACAGCACAGGCCTCCACACACACGTGCAAGGGACCCAGAATCCTACCCAGATAACTGCACCCTGCACACAGCCTCCCATCAGTGTATTTGTACACACATAAGCTGGCACATACGTGTACACAAATACCAGCTTCTGTACATGGACACATAGACACAAAGATTCACCCCTGAACGTGCCCATGCATGCATGCCCAGACCTTTGTGGACCTGCATACGGTCAGACTGGCACCCAGGGTGGCACAGACACATGCACACTCACCCCCCTCTGCCCTTTTGTCCTGGGCTCCGTGGGCAGACCCTTCCCTGCCCCAGGCAGCGATCTGGACCTAGAGGTGGGTGGCATTGTGGTGAGCAGGCAGTGCGAGGTGGGGGGAGGGCGTGGCAGGGGGCAGCTCCTCCAGGAAGACCCTGGCGGGCAGCGAGGGTGAGCGGGGCTCGGGCCTGGCATAGCACAAGGTGGCACGGGTGATGAGGCGGTCCAGGGGCTGCAGGGAGTGCATCCAGCGGGGCAGGAAGTCCCATGTCTGCAGCCACTTGGGCAGGCGCCCGGGACTCCGACTCTGCAGGATACTGACAAGCACCACGAAGGCCAGCAGGGCCCCGAAGGGTGCGCCCACACCTACCATGGCCTGCCAGCCGGCCATGGAGATGCCAAACACCAGTGAGGGCAGCAGCAGGAAGCACACGAGGAGGTAGAGGACAGCAAACCAGCGGTACTTGGCAGTGCGTTTGCCCAGCGCCTTGGCCATGCGGATGGGCAGGCGCGTGCAGGGCACTGGGTACCATAGAAGGATGCCCGAGATGTTGAAGAAGAAGTGGCAGAGGGCAATCTGCAGGGGAGGGGGCGGAGGGGCTGAGGTGGGCATGGGCCTCGAGCCACTGAGTCAGGCCAGCAGGGATGGGTGCTGGCGGCCCAACCTGGTCTGCGCAGCAGGAAAGTTGCCAGTTGGGGCTGGTTTGCTCCCAGATCACCCTGGGGTGGCCGTGCTAGTTATTAAAATATTGAAATACTTCTGGACCAGTTGGTAAATAACTACTGCCCTGAGCTCTCCACGTTTCCCCATGGACTCCTCTCTCAGGAGTGGCCACAGCTGAAGACTGCTACCAGGTTCCGCTCAGCAGCTCTGGACTCACGCTTGGCCAGTGCCCTGGCCTGTCAGCTCCTCCTTAGCTCCTAGAACAACTCCATTTTGCTGTCTGCCCCGACCCACTCCACTCATCCTTGGTCCTTGGACTGCTCCAGACCCCTCTTAAGCTTCCCTTCCGAGTGGTGCGCATCCAACTCGCTGTGTTTACGAGTGTGTGAGCACCGTCTCCCTATTGGACGCTAAGGCCTTGAGGCTGGTATCAGGTCTACTTTGCCCACGATGGTTTCCATAGAGCATGGTGGGTTGCCCTCAGTAGACAGTCCAAAAATATTAGTTACATGTCACCCCCTTGATCAGACCCCACATGCCAGTCCCAGCCCCTTCCTGCGTCAGGCAGGGCTGCTCTCCCGGACGCACCTGGAACGAGCTGGACAGCTTCTCCCTGGGGCTGGCCAGTGCAGCCAGGATGGCGGTGGTGGTGGTGCCAATGTTGGAGCCCAGTGTGAGGGGGTAGGCCCGCTCGATGCTGATCACGCCCAGGCCTGGGGGACATAGGGACAGGATGTGGGCCTCCCTGGCTACCTCCTTTAGCCCCTTCCCTGCCAGCTTTGCCCCAACCCACCCCCGCCTGCCTCCGCGCAGCATCGGCACTCACCAATGAGTGGGGTGATGGCCGAGGTGAACACAGAGCTGCTCTGGACAATGAAGGTCATGCCAGCACCCACCACCATGGCAAAGTAGCCCGTGACCCAGGTGAAGGGGGCAGGGAAGTCTGCAAGGAAACCCCGTCCCCGCAGGCCTGGGTCAGTGGGGGTGCTGGGAGAGCAGGCCTCCTTGGGGAGGGGACCCTTAGATGCAGTTCCCTACCAGGACCTCATCAGCCCCCTGCTCAACCGCAGTGGCTTCCTTCTGCTGCCCTCTTCGACCTTGGACGAAAGGCCTCTGTCGCTGGTCCCATCAGGCTACTGGCCTTTGCTCTGGCCACTCCCTCTGCCTAGGGTATCCTACTCGGCATCTACGTACTCATTCCCAGGCTCAGCGTGGCTGTCACCCGAAAGCCCTCCCTGGCCCCCAGCCCTCACGAAGACTTTGTTTTTCCCTTCTCTGAACTTCCCCAGTCCGTGGATGCCCCTATTCCCGCATTTGTCAGGGGGCCTGTCCCGGTGCCTGGCAGTGTCCCAAAAGCTCAAAACGAAGTTTCAGATGGAAAGCAGATGGTGTCGCCCCCCTGCCCCAAGCCCTCCGAGCTTCTGCATGACCCTCAATAAAGTCAGGCTCTGAGCAGAGCCTGGAGCCCCATGCCCTGCTGCACCCCCGTCCCCTTGCTGCTCCCGCCACCCAGAATGCCCTTCGTCCACATCTCAACTCCTCCTCCTCAGGTCTCTATTCAAACACCACCTCGTCAGAGAGGCCTCTGCCGCCCATCAAAAGCAGCCTCGTCCATACTCTACCGCGTTGCCAGTTTCTGCTGTCCCCTTGGCAATTGCCTCTCTTCCTCTGAATTATTCCCCGCATGCGTTTGTTTTTGTTGCTCCCCCTGCTGGGCCATGAGCCCCCCTGAGAGCAGGATCCACCTCAATTTTCATGGCCTCTGTGTGCCTCCCTGGCACTTGGCACACAGCAAGGACTTAATGACAACTTGTTGACTAAATCAAATAACGGCCTCTGAGCGGCTCCACCTGCTACGGTGCAGCCACAGCCAGAGGCAGCCACAGGTCTCCAGCTGCCAGCACCGCAGGGGCCTCAGAAATCACCTTCTTTGTTCACAAGGGGAAACTGAGGCCACATCAAGGCAGTGGCAGGACATAGCGGGATCTGGAAGGGCCCATTCTGGGGCCCTGCCCAGTCCTGTGCCTGCCCAGCCACTGTGCGCAACTCACCGGTGTTGATAACCTTCTGGATGACCTTGGCCACCGGGCCCTTGAGCAGGGAGTTGAGCATCTTGACGAGGAGGATGAGGCAGGTGCACAGGAGCACCAGGGAGCCAGCCAGCAGGATGAGCCCCACGGCCAGGTCAGGCAGCCCCGTGTCCACGAAGATGTGGTTGCCTGCAGGGGGTGGCATCAGCTGCTGAGGGCTGCCCCTGCACCTGGCTCCCAGGCCCAGGCTCAGCCTCCTCCAGCCTCAACACCAGTGCCTGACCCAAGCCCAGGAGCTGGGCTGCTTGACAGCCATCCTTCCTGGGGCCGGACGTGGCAGTGGCTGGGTGGGGTTGGCCCTGCTGCCACCAGGCTCTGCCCCTGCCAGGCAGGACACCTCCCATGTTGCAGCACTTACATTTCTCCATGGTGGCATTGCCACGGGTCTGGCTGGTGTTGGCTTCTGCCCTAGACATGGAGGTGGGAGCCTACATTAAGAGGAAGGTGACTCAGTTAATTTAGGGAAATGGAGCCTTGGGCTGGGGCTGAAGTGGGTTAAGGGAGGGGTGGCAGAGATGGAGATGGGCCTCCCGGCTCTGTGGCTGTGGACAGGCCGTGGTAGGCCCTCTGCATACCCTGACCTGGCTCTCCCCAGGGCCACATCCAATAGCTTCTTATCTTCATTTTCCTCCCCCTCGGTGGCATTGGTCGCTGCTGACCTAGGTCATCTTTGAAAACTCTCTTCCCCATCTTTTATGACTGGTCCCTTCCTTGCCACCCCTTCCCCAGTGTCCTAGCCCCGTCCTCTCGCCTACGGCACTATTAGCCCAAGCTTCATCCTCCTCTTGCTCCGTTCCTCACCCAGAGGGGATCAGGTAGGGGTGGGGATGAGGGCTGGCCCTCACCCCCTTCTCCTCCCTACTATCAGTGGAGTAGGGGGGCTCCCCAGGGAGACCCTACCATTCAGAGGGCCACAGGGCTTGGCAAGTCCCCTAAGGAAGAGGTGGGGAGAGTGTGTGCTGGGCACACGGGGCAGCAGCTACTCAGCTCCCAGCCACTGTCACTATCCAGGCACACAGCCCAGCACGGCCAAATCGCCCAATCCTATGAGAGAAACCACAACTGCGAAGTTTTAGATAAAATGTCCCAATCTGTAAAAGTTGGCAACTACTCTGAGACATGCTGTGCAATTCAGTGAAGGCCAGCAGAAGTGTCCCATCTGGCCTGTAGACCACGAAATTGTGGCCTTGTTGGGTTAAAGGGTAGTTATTTTTAAAAAATGTAATCCAGGGCCCCTTACCATCCTCCCAGCACCTGAGCAACCACCCAGCAGTGACAGGAGAAAGTGGGCCGGGCTTAGGCGGGAGAAGCCCATAGCACGGAGGAGGGATTGAGCCTCAGAAAGGAGCAGGGACTCCCAGGACCCCCGTTCACTCGGCAAGGGCTGCCAGACCCTGCCAGACCCCCCAGCAAAGTGCAGGAACTACTGCTACTCCCAGTTCACCGCATCCTGCCTCTCCTGGGAGCTGATCTGGGCCCTGGTCCCACTCCCACTTCCCCAGAGAGCTCCACATCCCAGAGCCCTCTGACCTCTTCCAGTGCTGAGGGTGGGGCTCAGGTGGGTGTTGGCACTTCAGTGTTTGTAGCTCCTTTAGGTTTTGTTTTAAATCGTGCATCATTTTAAAAATGCATGATAGAGGTAAGAACTATTTGTGGCATCTGGTTTTAACATCAGGGTTTATTTTAGCAGCATGTGCCCTCTCGAGTGGGCAACGTGCCTGTCTGTGTTCCCAGTTCACCCTCAGCACCTTGGGGCCCCAGCGAGCCTGGGCCTGAACTGCAGGCCAACAAGCCAGAAAAAGATAGCCTCTGATGGGCCCAGATCAGAAAACCAAGTGGGAAAAGCAATGATAACTACCATGCCGATAAGAGAGAGCCAGGTGTTTGCTATTAGGCAGATCTGAGTTCAAATCCTGCTTCTTATACCAACTACCCTGGGTAAGCCATGCCGCCTCTGAAGCAGGATAGTAAAAGAACGCTGTAAAGGTTGCAGGAGAAAATGTGGGTAAAGTGCTTGCCGCAGGGCTTGCCCATGACAAGCCTCAGTAAACTGTGTCTTCACATAAAGAACAGACCCTCCGTCTCCCTGGGCCGGTTCAGGATCACATGGTGGGAAGGCTGTGTGTGTGTGTGCTTGACTTTCTAGGTCAGGTCCAATGGCTCCTCAGATGGCCTTGCTGGGGCGGAGCTCGGTGGACCTTCCCAGGGGACCCGGCCTGGAGCCCTGGGAAGCAGATAACCCCGAGATGAATGGGGGCCTGGCAAACCTGTGCCCATTGAGCTACCCTGGCCTGGGCCCAGGGCTCTCCTGGGGGAGGCACCTGGGGGACCCGGGGGAGGCCGGAGGAGAATGAGGAACTTTGCTGGGGCCCCAGCTTAGGGCAGGCAGAGTCGGGCAGGGCAAGACTTCAGGCTAAGACCTCGGGGGTTTTGGAACCTTGACCTTCCTGTCTGGGGTCGTGTGACCCTGGCTGAGTGCACAGGGGGCAGCCAGAGACCCTAAAGCACAGGAGAGGAGCGTAGAGGCAGCAAGAGGGGCAGAGAGGGGTCGACTGCAAAGCCAGGCAGAGGGAGGGAACTGAGGAGAGGGAGCAGGCCCTGGAGCTTTCTTATAGGGCAGAAGGAGAAGGTGGACACTGCAGCCTGGATAGAAGAGCCAGAGGCCCAGGCTCTGGGGGCATATTCCCAGGACATGCCCATCTCTGCCTGGGCCTGGGCTGGGGCGGAGGAGTGGGAGGGGATGTGGCAGGGGGTGGTGTCTCTGGGAAGAACAGAATGAATGGACCCCGGACAGCCCTGGGCACACCCGAGCTGAGCCATTTCCAGCTGGGCGACACGGGACCAACACAACCTCTCTGGGCCTCATGAAGCATGAAGTCCATAATGCCGTCCACCTTTTCCCAGGGCCAGCTGGAAGCATGTTGGAGGAGAGAGTTGGGATTTAAGTGCCTGCAGGGACACCCCAAATTAAGGAGGCACTTCTGGGAGCTGAAGGAGGTGAGGGATTCAGCTCAGAATGTGGGCCTGGTGGGTAGTTTCCCCTCCAGAGGAAGGTGAGCTAGGGCCTTTGTTCTGGAAGCAGAGGGAGAGGACTGTGCCAGCAGCGCCATCTGTTGGTGAAGAGGAGAACTCCTCCTGAGAGCAACACCGCCCACCACCCAGGGAGGGGATCCTGGTGGCTGTGGTCACCTGATGGCATCCAGGCCTGATGGACAGAAGGGGAAGTAGACATAGATGGTGGGATGCGGACTGGTGTCTGGGAGAGGCAGCGAGATGGAGAGGCAGGATTCCACCAGGATTTGCGTCCCACCTCAATTACATGGACCCAAGGAATCCACTGCCCCTCCCTGATCAGGGCTCAGTTTCCTCATCTGTAAAGTGGGGACGGGATCATCCCGACTTCTGAGGTTGCAAGTCCTCAAAATATTCTTGCTTAAACTAGGCAGGTATGGTTGAAAATCCACAGTGTGACCGCATAAGAAGGTAATTCCCAGGCCGGTATCAAGCCCTGGGAGTGTCAAGAAGAGTTTGAACACTAAAACCGCCTCTGGTTTTCCTCTCCCCGTGTGGAGAGCCTCAGACTCTCAGTCTCTCCTTCGTGCCACAGGTTCCCTGGAGACCGGTCTGGAGAGTCAGGTCCAGCGTGGTGAAAGCTAGAGACGAGAACCGGTTGGAAGAGAACACAGGGAGACTCCATGGCCGAAGGACAGACTTGAGCCTTGAGTGGAGAAGGACCCACCGGCACACATTGCAAGAGCAAGCACATCCACTGCTGCACAAGTCACATGCCCATGGGGGACGGTCCCAGGGAAAGGGTGGGAGCAGGGAGCTCGGATCCCACCCCGCAGCTACTCTCCAATCCAAGGAAATCCAACTCTGCCACTGCTGTCGGGAAGAGGTTTCCTGGTAGAAGGGAGGAGGAACCAGTGCTCAGGCACGTGGCAGCTGCAGCGTGGAGAAAGGCAAACTGGGGTAGGTTTCTCCACCTGACCGAACCCCGGTGCCCTCTGGTGTAAGATGGGACCCTCGTGTCCACCTTGCCAGCACGGGGAGAGGGTGATGTTAGGTGAGGAGGTGTGTGCTGCAAGCTGGGACCTGCCCGAGGCTGCAGCAGGTGGACAGCGGGGGCCTCAGAGGAAGGGAGGAACGGATCTCCTATCCCATGGCTTGTTTTCTGCGAAGATCAGAGTGTGTGGTTTCTCTCTCAGATTTTGCTGTGAAGTAGAGAGGCTTGTGGGGATTCAGAGAGCTCACAGAGGAGAAGGCAGCTGATGTATTAGAGAGGTCACAAAGCCAGCATGAAAGCTGCCTGCAGGGGCTTTTTGATGTCAGGCTGCCTCCAGTCCTCAGAGGGCTGAGCTGGAGCCGCTTCAGATGCGAAGGAGCATCGCAGGGAGAGCTGAACGAGTGTTTTCTGTTCTCACCAGGATAAAATCCAGTAACGTCGAGGAACAGTGGGGCGGGGAGGGCTTGCGCTCCTGCTGTGGGCTTTGGATTCCCTCGTGTCCTGCTCTGAATGCAGTTACATCTCATATGTGATCATAAGCGGAAGTGAATATGGCTGATTATGGTTTTGATGAAGCATTTTCCTGTTTATGGCTGAGTAAGAAAGTGTGCTAATTGCCTGCTTCCTCACCAGCTTGGCATAAATGCTGTTCCACGAGCGTCCAACCGATCCAGACAGATCTTCCAGGCGTCAGAAGGAGCAGAAGCAGTGCAGAGGGCAAGACTCCCACTTGAGGCAGTCTCCAGGAAAAGGAGCCCCCATGCCAGCATGAGTGGCTGCTGGGTCCCCGAGGAGTTCTCCAAGTAGCCCACCTGTCCCTTCCTATTCATCCTGCCTTCCTGGGTATCCTTATAGCACTCTCTTTCTGCCCCCTCCCCACATTACCTGGGCCCTAAACCATGGCAGAGCTGAGTCACTAACCCCCCTGGGGCACTCAGGCCCTGACACAGAAGACAAGCTCTGGCAAGATTTTTAGCCCCTCTGAGCTTGTGTCCCTACCTGTGAAACCTGACCGTGGGGCACACCTAGAGACGTGTTGCAGTCTAATAGGTTCCTAGGAGGTATTGATGCTGTTGGTCCCAGACTGCGTTTTGAGAACCACTGGCTACCCGGATCAATTACAGGCCAACTCTAATTGACTGGTGATGTCTGCCTAAAGCAGTGTGTGCGGTTGGGAGGGCTAAGCACTGCATTGCGGTAAAAGAGTCATGTACCTGCCCTCTCCTGGCTAAATGGTCTCCAAGGTCTATCTGGAGCATTTTGAACAGACCATGAAACCCACAGTCTGAAGAGGGAGTCCTCTTACCTGGGGCCAGGCCTGGGACTCACCTCCATGGTGTCTGGGTGGCACCAGATCCGGATGAGACTGTGGTTCCTCAGGGACTCATCCCCAGTGGCAATGCTGGTGATCACAGACTTGTCCAGCTGTGAGCAGGATGTGGGTGGGGGAGTGAGGGAGGGTGGGGACCTTACTACCCACCCGCCCCCACCAGACCCTGCTGCCACCTGGATGATGAGCTTTGTGAAGGGCTCCGTGATGATTTTGAGCAGGTCAGGAGCATCACGCCCGCCACGGATGTTGAAGGAGGCCACCACGAGTCCAGTGACGTGGTGCAGGTAGCCGGTAGTAGCCTCCAGGGGCAGCAGTACCAGAACTGACAGCCAGTTAAAGCAGTCGTGCACCGTGGCCCCCGCGAAGGCCCTGGGCAGGGAAGCCACGTGGCACGGCAGGCCAGAGCCAGGTTGCAGTCGCGCTGGGCTGCTGGCATCCAGGCTGCCCTCCCCCAAGCACAGCCCCCACCCCTGAGCCCCCTCACCGCCGGAAGTCAGTTCTGTCCCCTGCCTGCATCAGGGCCACAATGGTGTTGGTGACAGAGGTGCCGATGTTGGAGCCCATGATGATGGGGATGGCAGAGCTCACCTCCAGCACTGGTAGAAGAGGGGGACTCTTAACTAACTTGGGTGGAGGCCACCCAGGTCCTGCCCCACAACAGCTCCTGCCAGGCCCACTACCCATGTCCAGCCTCCAGTGGCCGTTCCTGCTGTGCTGCTGACGCTGCTGGCCTGGTGTCTCAGGTTCCTGTGGGCACGTGCTGGGCGCTTGCGTGCACACGCACACATGTGACTAGGTGTGCTCGCACTGCCCGTGGTGTGCATATGTGAATATGTCCATGCGCATGTGTGGCGCGCGTTATGAGGGCTCATGTTCTATGTGCAAATACAGACCTGTGCTTGTGTGCACACATGCGCTCACGTGTGAGGGTTAGTTTTAGGTGTCAACCTGGCTAGGCTATGGTGACCCACATCCACAATCAGTGGGCTTCAAGTAAAGGAGATTATCCTCAGTAACCTGAGTGGGCCTCGTCCAATAGGATGAAAGCCTCCTGAGCAAAATCGAAGCTTCCCTCTGTTCTGGTCAAAGGTAGGTTAGAAAAGAAAAGAATTGGCCGGGCGTGGTGGCTCACGCCTGTAATCCTAGCACTCGGGGAGGCCAAGAGGGGAGGATCACTGGAGGTCAGGCGTTCGAGAGCAGCCTGAGCAAGAGCGAGACCCCATCTCTACTAAAAAAATAGAAAGAAATTAGCTGGACAACTAAAAATATATAGACTTCCGATCTCGGGCATGGTGGCACATGCCTGTAGTCCCAGCTACTCGGGAGGCTGAGGCAGAAGGATCGCTTGAGCCCAGAAGTTGGAGGTTGCTGTGAGCTAGGATGACGCCACGGCACTCTAGCTCTGGCAACAGAGTGAGACTCTGTCTCCAAAAAAAAAAGAAAAGAAAAGAACTGAGGCTTCCCTGAGGAAGAAGAAATTCCACCTGTGGACAGCAGCATCGACTCCAGCCTGCCTTTCCAGATGGCCTGGCCTCCGGGTTCCAGCCCTGCCCAGCCAGCTCCACAGTCGGGTACACCGGTTCCTTGCAATAAATCACATGTGTATCCTACAGGCGTGGCTTCTCTGGCTCAGTTCCCTGACTGACACAGGTGCGACTGAGTGGCCACACACGGGCAAGCCTTCCTGGGGCTGTGCTCCCCACTTGCCGCCCTTCCAGCTCCCGGGGCGCCCCTCCTGCTCAGACTCTTGGCCATGCTTCAGGGCACAGAGTGGGAAGATGGAGGCCTGCCCTTTGCCCTCAGCCCGCGTCCCCACTCCTACCTCCGATGCCACCAGTGCTACCCAGCCGCACCCACCAAGGCCCTTTCCCCAGCCCTGGCGGGTCCACTCACAGCCAGAGGAGACCATGCTGACAACGATGGACGTAGAGGTGCTGGAGCTCTGCACAAGCACTGTCACCAGGATCCCCACCACCAGCCCCGCCACCGGGTTGGACAGGATGGCATTGTCCTTGAAGATGTCGCCAGCCACCTTCCCTGGGGGGCACGAGCCGGTGTTGTCCAAGGCCCCTCAGGAGCCCCTCCCAGGTCCCCTCCACCTAGCCCTACCTCCAGCCAGCTGGAAGGCCGAGCTGAGCACATCCAGGGAGCAGACGAAGAGGTAGAGGAAGGCGAGCATCAGTGGCACCTTGAGCAGTGTGGTGCCAGCCCTGCACAGCTTCGGGATCAGCCCCGGCTCTGGAGGCGGGCCAGCCGTGAGCACAGCGGGCGGGAGCCTGGGGCAGGGATTGCCAGTGCCCCTGCTGCCCGCCACCCAGGCCCACCTGGCTTCTGCTCCTCCTCCAGGGCCAGCTTGGCGGGCAGCGGGCCGTGGCGCTCCGAGGCCTCCCCACAGGAGCAGCTGTGCTCGGTGAGGGCCACGGGGCCCAGGCTGGGGAAGGCATAGGCAGAGGTTCCTGGGACCCTGTGCAGGACTGGGGAGGGAGGCTGGTCAGGAGGCCCAGAGGCTCCAGGGTCTGGGGAAGGGGCCTCACTGTGCCTTCTATGACAGACAGCAGTGCCACCCAGGGTGTGGGCAACCGTGGGCAAGCAGGTCCAGTGCGTGGGAATGGCACTCACCCGGCGGGCTGGGCACGTAGGCAAAGGCGGCCCCTCGCATCACGTGCCCCCTGTGGACTGGGAGTGGGGAGACAGCTGGGCTCCCCAGCCTCTCTCCGTAGGACATCATCTTGGCCACCCGCTGTGAGGCCTGCGGGTCAGGGGGTCGCAGCAACACTGAATCACAACTGCCGTTCCTGCACGTTCACACTTACTCACACCCACACACGTTCAGGTGCACAAACCCCCACGCTGTGTGATCCCACACACACCCAGCAAAGCACACCCTCCAACCTCACCCCCTCCCCCAGTGCACAGCCCCTGAGACCCACACGCAGGTGCTCAGTACAGATTTGAGCGCTCGTTCATTCAGCAAGCATTACTGAGCTTCTACCCTATCCCAGGCTCCGGGCTGCAGGCTGGGGTACAGTGGTGATTAAAGGCAGACACAGCTCTTGCCCTCAGGAAGCTCGAAGTCTGGTGGGGAGGCAGACGGAAATGAAATAACCCCTGAAATAGATGGAAGATGGCAATGGGGGTCAGCTCACAATGTCAGGTGGAAGTGCCACCAGAGTGCCCGGTGGCAGGGCGTGGGCTCGTGGGGCAGGGAAGAGAGACTCAGGCCCAGATGCACAGAGAGGAGGAGTTAGCTCAGCAGAGAGGCGAGGAGCACGGCTCCCAGGAGCTGAGGAGCCCACCCTGGGCAGGGGGGCCAGGGAACATGTGACTAAGAGGCTGCGGGTGTGGCCAGGGCTGGCCATGAAGGAGGAGGTTTGTCTGCTCTGAGGGCAGAGAGGGGCCATGGACACCTGTCTGCTCATGGGACCAACTGGGCACACACTGGTGGTGGGGGGTGTTCCCTGGCCTGGATCCCAAATCCCGGGGTTCCCTCACAATGAACTTTCCCCACCCACCCCCTCAAGGGGCAATAAACAAACACTGACAGCCTTTCTCCTTTCCGTGAAGGAGGCTCACACCAGGACTGGCCTTGCTTTTAGATCCCTGCACTGCCCCAAGTCCTCGGCTGCCCTGGTTGGCCTCAGCACCCTCCCCACACATCATCCCAAGGGTCCCTGGGGTGGAGGAGTGTGCAGAGCTGAATTCCAAGCCCTGGGAGAGCATGAGTCTTTTCACTCTGGGGAGTGAGCCAGGAGGGGCAGGAAGGGGGTCGGGAGGAGGGGCGGGAGCAGATTGGACGGAGACTGAGGGGCTGGAGTGATAGGCTGTTTCCCATTCAGAGCTGGGGTGGGGATGTGGGGACACTGGGCTCACCTTGGGGTTCTGTGTTTCAGCTTCTGTTCGGTGACTAAGGGAAGACTTCAGGGCCCTGAGGAGGAGCCCGGGACCCACCTCTTTATACACCTGGGTCAAGGGCAAAGTCCCTAGAACCCTAGCTGCCCTCCCTCTGTTCCCCGATTAACCTCACCCCTCGAGATTCCTTCCAGTTAATTGCTAATCGTCAGCTCTGCAGGGGGCATCTGTGGTCAGGCTCCCATGTAGACATTCAGCCTCAGCTATGACCCAGCAAGGGCACGGAGACATTCCCTGCGCCCAGGCAGAAACCCTGATGCTACCCAGGCACCTTGTTCCCAGGGTCTCGAAAGAGAGTCTGTGGCTCTGTCCCCTTCCCCTCATTCCTGGTTTGACAGGACTCCCTGGGGAGCGACCTAGACATCCTATGTCCTTGCCATGCGTCTGGGTGTCTGTCTGGGGATTTGAGCTCAGGGGCGAGGGAGTGTGTGATGGAGAAAACACCAGAGGGACACTCAGAGGGCTGCGGAGTGTTGAATGGTGGCGGGTCTCTAGTGCCGGAGTATGGGTCCAGGGCACGAGTCTGAGAGAATGTAAAGCCACTGGGCAGACTGGGAAGGGCCTGATCTGCATTTTAGAACAGCCCCTCTGGGGTGAGCTCAGGATGCACCAAAGGGAGTAAGACTGGAAGCAGAGAGGCCAGTTAAGAGGCAGATGAGGTTGTCCAGGTGAGAGATGATGAGGTCTGAGCTAAGATAGGGACAGAAGGGGTGGAGAGGAGGGAGGCATCCCAGGGCTACTCCAGTCTAGAATTGGTGATGGGGAGGGAGGGAGAAAGGGAGGGAAAGCAAATATGTGACTGTTGCATCTCTGTATTGGGAGGTTGGTGATGGTACGAGGTCTGTGCAGAATTCCTAAAACCCAGAGAGGAGTCTTAGAGAGACTTTGAGAAACTTGTTTCCCTTTCATGGGACTATGGAGCCTGGGCTGGGGCCCAGATTCATAGAGAGATGAGAAGGGAGCTTTTGGAAGGGGTTGAAGATTTGATCAGATCCAGCAATGGTGGGTTGCATTCCAGGTCTAGCTTGAGCAACTGAGTAATGTGCCTAACACTACCAACCCCTCCATCCGTCTGGTTCATCCACCCATCCGTCCACCCACCCACACATCCGTCCAACCAGCCAGCAGCCTGTGTAAGTCCACGCATTCCTGAGTACATTGGTGGAGTTCCTACTTTATGCTGGGCCAGCCTGGGATTCTAAGGCATGTCACCTCGGCTCCCTGGGTCCTAGTGTCTTCACTTATAAAATGGCAATTAGTTAGCAATGCTATTTCAGTGAATTGTAGAATTCAAGGAGACAGATGACCTATCTCCATGCCTGGAACTGAGTCCCTCAGCGTGTTGTTCTCACCATGCTCTCACATCCTCTCCACTGGGTCTCCAGGATGGCTGAAGTGCCCCGGCCAGGGAATGCCCCAGCCCCTGCCAACTGGCCTCGTCTCGGCCTGGCAGCTCCTGCTGGCTCACCAGCTGTCCTCTGACTGCTCAGGGTCCCCTGAGCTGCAGTCCCACCAACATCTGACACATTTCAGGTGACACAGCCTTGTTCCATCAAGGACAATGGACTTACCCGCACAGCTCCCCCTCTAATCTGACACAGGTTAACTAATCAATACTTAATTCATAGCCTGGGCCCAGCAGTGGTCCACTGACTTTCTGCCAAAGTGGCTATGAGCAGAGAACACGCCTATCCGGGTCTGGATCCCAGCACACCACAACTGGCCGTGTCAGTTTAGGCCCAGACCCCACCGTGGGGACAGGAAGGAGAGGCAGAGGTGCTGGTGGCATTGGTTTTGGGGACAGTGACCATAAGTCCTGGTTTGCAGGGCCAAGTCCTGGCCTATGGCTGATGGCCCAGAGTCCCGTTTCACTCTGAAAGGTGTCCTGGTTCAGACAATAAAGCTCACACAGTTGACTCCTGAGCAATCCAGGTTTGAACTGCACAGGTCCACTTACACAAGGATTTTCTTCTGCCTCTGCCACCCCTGAGACAGCAAGACGGACCCCACCTCTTCCTCCTCCTCCTCAGCCCACTCGCTGTGAAGACGAGGAGGACGAGAGCTTTGTGGCAAACTACTTCTGTGTGACAGATAGGAAACACGTTTTCTCTTCCTTATTTTCCTTTCTTTCTTTTTTCTTTTCTTTTCGTTTTTTCTTTTAGATACAGGGTCTTGCTCTGTCACCCAGGCTGGAGTTCAGTGGTGTCATCATATCTCAATGCAGCCTCCAACTTCTGGGCTCAAATGATCCTCCTGCCTTGACCTCCCAAAGTGCTCTAGCTTGCTTTATTGTAAGCATACAATATATAACACATGTAACATAAAAAATATGAGTTAATTGACTTCTTATGTTACTGGTGAGGCTTCCAGTCAACAGCAGCTATTAGGAAAGAAGTTTTGGGGAGTCAAAAGTTATGCTCAGATTTTTGGCAGCACAGGGGATCGGGACCCCTAACCTCTGGGTTGTTCAAGGGTCAATTACTTTCAGCCTGTTTGAGGGCGATTCTGGGGAATGGAAGCAGAGAATCAGCCACCCCGGAATGCTTACTAGGAAGGTCTCGCATTTACAGAATAGCAAAAAGGAAAATGAAAACAATCTTGCTTCTCAGAAACGCAGCCGTAACATGCGGGGCATGGCTTTTCGTCCTTCTGTCCTCATGTCTTTTTAACCGGTTAGGATCTTGTCATCTATAAAGACTGCCTCTTGCTCTTTCTTCCCCTCTGTTGTACCATAAGCCTTGCCTGTGTCTTTACACTTGGCACAGATGTTGTTTTTAACAGTTGCATCACAATCTGGCGTGAACCCTAATTTACTTAGTGAGTCTTCAGGACCTAGAACCTCTTCAGCCTGGAGGGAGGGGTTGGATGAGGCTGGGCTTCACACAGGTAGGAGCGTGTTGCGGAGTCAGGGAAATGCAGTCACTACTGGGTTCTTGTCATCTCTCCATTCTTGGCTCAGAGGCCCCGTTGAAGTCACATCAGGGACAGGCTTGTAGGCTGTGTGCACTGGAGCACCCCCACCTACAAGCACCCCGACCTCCCTCCACCCCCAGCAGGTCCAGAGACCCTGGTCTGTGTGACCTGTTCCTCTCTCCTGCTTGGGTCAGACCCTGGGCAGGAGCAGCTGTATCCAAGGTGCTCCTGATGAACTGGGGATGCTTCTCCAAAAAACATAAGGTTATGTTTTTTGACATTTATTTTTCAAGAGACCGGATCTTGCTCTGTCACCCAGGCTGGAGTGCAGTGACATGATCATAGCTCAATGCAGCCTCAAACTTCTGGGCTCAAGTGATCCTCCTGCCTCAGCCTCCCGAGTAGCTGGGACTACAGGCACATGCCACCACATCCAGCTAATTTTTAAATTTTTTGTAGAGATGGAGTCTCACTATGTTCACCAGACTGTCCTGGGCTCAAGCAATCCTCCCACCTTGGCCTCCCAAAGTGCTGGGATTCTAGGCATGAGCTAGGGTGCCCAGCTACTTTCTGACACTTTTGAAGTCTACCTTCCCTGCTCTCATGGAGCTCCAGGTTTAGTGAAGGAAGCAGTTAGTTTTTGATCAAATGTATCATAAGAGACACAGTTCCAAAATGCTGTGGATTTATACATCCACCACTTCCAAAAAGATATTTTAGGTGGGGCTGCTATAGCCCTAGTGAAAGCAAGGAACACTTGGAGCCGACCAGAGCTGCTCTCAGGACCCTTGTGAGTGGCAGAGAAGGCAGCTCCATTCTAGCCCCAAAACATCTGTCTCAGCCTCTCTGTTCATTTCAATCCCTCCCTGCTCACTGCCTGCCTCCTCCCTAGCTGGTGACAGAGTCTGTGTCTCCTTAGATGGTGACTCCTGCCTTGTCTGTGCAC